GCCGATGCGAGCCTTCACAGTGGTTATAATCTGCGAAAAAAAGAGGAAATAAGTTACTTTAAATTTTTTCCATTGTTTTCAAACTGGTTGCACTGAAATTGAATTAATTTTTTAAAATTAGTTTAATTAAATGCAAAGGACTTAACATTAACAACTTGCAAAGTAGTGCTTTAAAAGTGTTATATTAATTTACTTTGTAGTCTTTGTATTTGTACTATTATCTTTAAAAATCCGTCAAAGGATATTATTTATTTTTAAGTCTTATAAGAAAAATGATTTTCAACTGTTACATAAACTTTAGCAGTATAAATTTCATTAATATAAAAATTAACATTTTATATAAGCATTCTTTCTGTCGTTTTCTATGTCTGTTTTGCTCTGCAATTGTATCTCAATCACGCGAGAGACAAAAACAAAAATATTTAATTACAAAGTGACATTTAGAAATCATTAATTTCAGAGACATGTTTGGTTTTTAAAACTTTAAGAAACCCTCGATCTTCTCCCCTTCCCGTCTTTGGGAGACTGTCTATCAAGAGATCAGTTTCGCATTTTGCGAAAGAAGCAATTGTGAATCTTGCAAGAATGCGGCCTTCTATTTTCTTTTCCTCGTAATCTTTCTTAGCGACTTCGTGAACCGGTTAAATAAAAATAAACACAACAAAATTACTTTCCGGGCCGTGTCTAGTGAAAATGCTACGGGACTTCCTCTCGCAGTCCTTTATACTCACAGCAGCCGCGACATCGAGAACTCACTTCCGGTACTTAGTCCCGTCGATGGTTACTTTTCTTAGTGTGATAACTTGATTGAAAGGGATGGAAAAAGGGGGATTGGTAAAGATGATGTACTTTATGATGACATAAGAAAACTTACATCCTTTGCAAGTGGCGCCCCTGTGGTGATGATTTCTCTCACGCTGCGAAAGTCACAACTATCTACCAGCGGATGTTTCGCTAAGAACGTCATGATTGACGACACCACCGGCAGATAGGTGATCCTATATTTCTGCACCAGGGTTAGGAAGAGTTGCGGCTCGAAGGTGAGCATTATGATCAAGATGCAGTTTCCGAAAAGACCGTGTAACAGCATACTCATCCCGTAACCATAATAAAACGGTAACACTATCAATATTCTGTCATCACTTCTCGTATCCATGTATTCGGGCTTGCTGTGATTTTAAATCATATTTGAATTATAGAATCAAATCCTAAATTGCTTTTAAGCGAGAAAATGGGACTTTGACTTTTCGGATTGTACATGCAGAGTTTACAAATAAATTATAAAGTTACAATTATAACATTATAGTTAAGAAGGATGTGGAAATAATTAGTATGGTACGTATTATATTTTAAGTTGAAATTTCTTTTTAAATTGAACATTTAACGCCCGCGTTTTTAATCAATTGATCAATATTGATTTCATTGCCATTTAAAAATGAAGGTTTTTTTAATATATTGACTAATTGATTTAAAAAATTATATATATGTAAAACTTACATAAATTTTGTTGCAGCTGCCATTACATTTTTATGAGACAGCGTCACTCCTTTCGGCAAGCCTGTGGTGCCACTCGAACAGACAATAACCAACGGTTGCCGATTGGGATCATCGATAGCTGCAGGCTTGTATTTCATGTAGTCTACATCCGGTTCGTTATTTAAGATATTTGTCAACGTACGAACATTTGTTGTGAGCGGTTGATCATTCAGCTCTATTAATTCCATTTTCCAGGATAATTTCGGTAAGATCTTAGCGAAGAGATTTTCAGTGCGCTGAGATACGAAAACAATACGCGGCTTCGCAATATTTAATATGTGCTGCAATTCATCTAAATGATAAATATTTGAAATCAATTGACATTTAAACTTGGTAGAAAACCGATTAAATTATTATATATATGTATATATATATATATATATCTGTCTCTTATACACATCTCTGAGCGGGCTGGCAAGG